TCGAAAATTTTTGATAAATTGTTATAATAATAAAAAATTAAATAAATACTGTGGTCGTATACTTGCATGTATAATTTTAATATATTTAAAATGTGTGATGTTTATCTGTGGTATTTATATCGTATAAAATGACTAACGCAAAATACAATATTTTATTTCATGATTTAATCTTAAATAGCCACATATACCTATATATACTTATATATGGCTATATAGGTATTATACCAAGGCTTAAAATATATTGTAGTAGTTTAGTAGTGATGTAATTCAATAATTCATAGATAAAATGTAGTTATAGTGTATATATTTTTAAAACAACATTTTAATTACAACTCATTAAAGATCAAAAACTAAGACCACTTGCATGTTTTCATCTTGACATTAAGTAATATTTATGCGAAGTGGATCATAATAAAAAATTTCCTTTTTTTCAGTGCTGCAGAAAATTTATAGAAAACGCGGGGTACCCACTTTAATACAATTTAAGTTCGTTATTTGACGTACATGATTTCCTAGTATTTTAAAATAATTTTTAATAATAGTAGGTGCTTCAAAATATCAAAACTCATAAAAATTATTGATTTAATTAAATCATTAATAAAATATAACCTTATACATAAACATCGACCATTGTTAATCGTACATGATTACAATTCTTAAATTGATTTAATAATGTGTGGTCAATAGTCACTGCACTTATAATTAATATTATATTTAACATCATAATTTTTATTTTATTTATAACAGATACACTTATATCTAAGTAATTTTAGATATTGAGCGAAGCGAGAATACCTTTAACAATACTATTTCATTTTGTTATTTTGAAACAGATAATTCGTATATCCACGATAAATGGAATCATGCAAGACATCATGACTGTACGCTATTTAATATCTATAGAATAATAAAGTTTGATAAYAATAATAATAGTAGATTTTATACAAATTTATACGATAATATACTAGTTAGTATTTTTCTATTACACTACACCTAAACTTATTTATTTACATTGCGCCATCTGCAGTATTKCCAGTATTGGACCGAATTTTGTGCATACAAATATCCGGGAGTTTAAACATCCCAATCTTCCGTTTGTACGTTACTAGAGAGTAGAGGTATATGCTGAGCTATAAGTAAAATAGGTGTACCTACGGACGTACGAATACTACGATGTACGTATCACGCGCATCCGTACATTGTACATCAGAACGTTTTGTCACGTACCTACATTTGGGTTCACGTGTTAATCATAATAATATAATATTTCTATTATATATTATATCTATTATTATATAGTCTATAACTTATTAAGCATTGGCCTATAGTCTATAGGTCATAGAATTTCATATTTAATACGTATTGTGTTTGTRCGACATTTCTCTTTATAGCATGTCATTGCAGTGACGCATTTCACTCGCACTAATACACTATAGTCGCATTACAGGATGCTCGGTCGAGCTCGAGATAGCTATAAAAATATAATATTTYGTTTTATATTTATGGTGTATAGGTTATAGGTAACTACATTATGTGTCATAAAAATGAATAATCAGCGTTTACGAATTACGACAAGACACTTACTTAATAGTACATGAAGTCATTTAGATTAAGTTTTAAGCAAATATCTAAAATTATTATTGTTTACGTAATTGTATTTTATATTAAAAATTTTAACTATATGCAGATCTATAGTTTTTACATTTCCGTATATCTGTAGGTTATTATAATTTTCGCTCAGCAAAAAAGCCGTCTTTAATGGGCAACTACCCATATAMTTTTAAGCACATGGCAACATACGGCACCATCTTGTGGCTTACACTAGGTTATTCATTTGTACATAACATGAAATCTATTGATTTGTAATAAATAATAGTCAATAGTGATATAGGTATTATTATATTATATTATGTTCTTAAGTCAGTCGTGTGTATATTAATACGTATGAATAATAAATACATATAATATACGCGTTTGACGAGTGGTACACGCGTTCACACTTACAATATTGTACGATATCGTTTCCGGTTTCGCGAAACGAGTTCGAAAAGTTGTGGTGCTTGTGCCAGATGCGGTTTTTGTTTTCGTACCAAGTATTTATTACTATTATTATTAATACCAATTAAATCGATGGGCCGCCGGGAAGCAACCGACACGATCGCCTCTGACGCCCGCGGTGGCAGCGGCGGTCTCGAACAGCTGATCATACGCACGCGCCACACTGCCGCAGACGCCACTCGTGCGACGGTGGGCAGTCAGTCGTCGTCGCGCCGTATTGACGTTTGTGGTAATGGAGTGCGATCCGGTCGAAACCGCGGCTGTTGATTATAATACACACATTAGACTGCAATAATAATTTTCAAAACCTTTTGAACAGTGCATATTTACTGTTTATTTTTTACTCGTGGGCCGCCACAAAATTTTATACACTCATCGCATTGTTTACATATTTTATTGGATGCGGTTACGTTTATTTTTTACCTTCGTTTTTAAATTATTCACATTTTTTTATCTATAGAAATATCAACGACAACTTTTCTGTTCGTTATTCAATATATTATATCATAGCGTTTCGACGTCGACGGGAATCATTTGTTATTCTTATTCGCGTATTAATATTATCATACTACCTACGACGACCGACGGTTATGTGCGACCGGCTATGAGTTCGCCAAAGTCGTCGGACAGGAAATCGGGTAGGAAACAGTCGTTTTCACAACAACGGTCCTCCAACGAAGACATTTATCAGCAGGACGAATACGACACTCCGGTAAGCGAGTTATTGCTGTTATAGTGTTATTATCGTTGCACGTCAACAACGGTTTTCATGTAGATGTAATGATAATGAGTTTCCGTGATTAATACGGATATTAATAATACATTAATACCTCGATTAATACCAATCGTTTAATGGACAATATAGTTATAGTTTAATATGTAAAGTTAAAAGTGTGCGATGATTTTTCRATGAGCGTGAAACATTGAAAACTGCAAAACATAGTCTGTTTATTTAGGTATTGCACTTACGACGGTCGATAATCATGACTCGCCTCAAAGTTGTCTATATTTAGGTGTGGATAAAGTGTTGATAACTTATCAATTACTACTGTCATATTATGAACATAATATGACGTTTTGTAGGAAACTAGATATTTTTGTATTTTAGACCCACAGTTGGCGATTCCGATTCTTATATAAATATTTTAACGATTAGAGTAATAATATATACCTATTAATAATTATCAATAATCAMACCGTATAATTGTATTAARTATTGTAGGTTGTAGGTATATTCGTATAATAAGCAGATGTTCGAAAACGTAAACATTATGCTGTTTTTACCTACCTATGTATAGGCTACATTAAGTTGTTTATACCCTAATGCCTATTATATTATTCAAGTATTGAAGAATTGACGTTTGACATCGTTCTCAGATTTCTACCTGAAAATACCTGAATACCTAAATGCCTACATGGCTTTATAATTATTATATGCATATTAAAATTAATGTTTTTAATGTTTTTCATTGTAAATATTTATTAACAGTCAGGATCATTTGGAAATTGTTTGATTTGTAACAACAAAGAAAGTTTATAAATAAAATAAAATATCTGAACTATTGAAAACTTTTATTATGTATCTGATGAAATATGGTTTGACTATTTAAATGTGGAGACACTGGAGACTAATCAAATATATAAACTATGAGCTATATTATGATGAACAATGCAAATAATAATATGTAACTTGYATTATACATTATAATACCGAGCATAATACACATTCAGTTTCATAATATGTTGGTTTTTTATTTCTCTGATAAGAGCAATATAATGGTACATTTAACAGTAAATAAAAAGTTAGTTTTAATAGTGTTGTGACTTTGAACTTCCTAGTCATAATTTATTTTGTAAATTAAAAATGATGCAAGTTTTATTGATTTATCGTTTATGACAAAATTGCGAATAGGTTTTTACAAGAACTATAAAAATTTYCACTGTCTTAACATATTTGTTACTGTTTATTTTTTACAAAATATTGTTGTCAATTGTAAAATCTATATTAAAATCTATTTTCTAAAAAAAAATGTTCATTTTGAAATAARGTTTTATCCTTCTTGTAGTGATAAACTATATAGAGTGCTGCCAGATGCCGACATGCAGTCATATAGAGTTTGAGATTAACAAAGGGGTGTTCAGCTAGTCATTTCACATAATAGCGTGCATAATAGTATGCACCCTGTGTAGTGTGTATGACTCATTGTTTTGGTTTACTATTGAGATACTATTACAAATTTACGTTATTTTAGACGTCAATAATAATATTGCATAATACCAATATGCACATCTCAAATTATACATATAGCATTGATTAAATATACAATATATATATATATATACAGTATATTTAATCAATGCATTTAGTATGCCACAATAAAAAGTATTATCTTCCATTTACTGCAAAATAATAAAAGTTTACTCTAATAGCTTAAATAAATATCATTCAATTTAAAAACTAGTCGAAATTAAAGTAAACCTATTTTATTTATACCTATTATTATATTTTATATTTTATTTTATTACATTATACTTTATAAGCACAATCAATAATTTGGAAAACGTATTTTTCAAATATTTTAACAAGATAATAATTTTATATTATTTTTATCTTAAGCTTTAAGTATTTTTATTTTTCTAATATTAGATAGGTAGGTTGACAATTCCTAGTTGTAAATGAGTAATAATTATGGAAACAATAATTTACAAGATGTGCACTTAAAAAAAATTTTTAAAACAACATGTATATCTTTGATTTTTAATTAATTATATTTGATTATTTTTATAGTTTTMTAGTGCCTCGTCTAGTGCAAATAAAAATCTTATAAAAATTRATTTTAAACTTGAGCTTTGTTGGCYTTACAAGTTTATAAATAATATAAAYATATTATAAGCATACTAGGTACATTTTAAATAATTTTTAAAGCACAATTTTGTCATTGGATAGTTATTTATGGGTAAAAAAAGGTAGTGTTAGGCAATGTTAGGCTTATATTACAATGAGTAATTTAATTACCAATTGTTATGTAATGACGTTTAACAGACGTGAGTTCATTTAAAATAAATACTGTAAAATAAACACATTTGTCATAGTAACCCGGAGTAACCATACAATGTGCTATTTTTTTAATTTTTTTTTTGATAATCAGAGACATTCTTTTAACACTGCATATCTGTTAATGGTTATAATCAATTTGAAGTTAATTACTTGATATATAATATGCATTATAGATTATAATCCATGACATTATGTGATTTATTCTTACAATGTTACAATTTATGTTTTTCTTAGACCAAAAATAAATTATACGTTTCTTTGGAACAACTRTATTCTTTGACTCAATTATTGAGGTTTACCATGAGACATTTATTCAAAGTTGAGGTACCTGTTTAACAAAATAATAAGTTCTCCTTAATGTTCTATTAAGAAAATCCTACCAACAAGGACTTAGTCTGACTTATATCCGAGGTTTTATCTGTATAAGAGGAGAACCACTATCCTCCTAATTACGGCTAATTTTACCGAGTGTTTTACTTTATATATATAAAGGTATAAAATACATGTTWTTACAAAATTYAAAGTATTTTATKTCATGAAACTTCGGTGTATCTAATATTCTAATGTATTTTAGATGTATAAGTTTTTACGGCGTAGGTAATAGAAATTGTTTAGTTTGTTATATTATTATTAGTGTTTTGAATAATTCTTTTACAGTAAATATAAAATAATTAATATTGTCTCAAAAAGTATAAGTCTTTGAAAATGTTTTTATTTATGTATATAATTTGAAGTTATTATATAAAACAGCACATTTTGAAAAAAAATTATATTTTTGCTATTTTTATTGCTATAATTATTAAGTTTTTACTTTTTTAAATAACAACATAAYATCATGTTATAATCATAATATTCTGAAAAAGAATTTGATTTTAATAATTTTTATGTGTAAAAATCAAATTTTAAACGAGTAGTTTATTAGTTAAATGTATCAAAGTTGTTATTAGCTGAGCAATAGACTAAAATTTTGCATTGTGTACACGGTGCCTCAGTGGCAGGCTACCACTACGGTTAACTCATCAGTTACCCATATTATTACATAAAGGATTAAATATGTTTTTGTATTACAATTTATAATTAATTAACTATTCGTTCGAATTTTGATTTTAGATTCTGAGCGGAGCTAATATCATAGCCTGTAACTAGGAGTGTAATGTATTAGTTAAATTTTTTTTTTGTGCTCGTAGACACTTTTTCTAGTAAAACAAGTGATCCAACTATCAACTTTAAAGGAGRTTTCCAGTAATAAATTGAATCTGGTTTGTAACTTGGAGGATTAAACGTATTTTTTTATCTTTTAATATAATCGGGAAAAACAGTAAAAAATACGATTATTTATAAAAATTTTAATATTATTAAAATAATTGTTTAATAATCTTAGTTAGTTGATTACCATAAGAGTTATATTGCCWTTGCTCCAAATGGTTTTCGTTGTGTAGAATTATACACCATTATTAAATTATTCAGAGAACGTGATCAGTGGCACCGAACACTATGTTAAGGTCGGGCCATGGCCCGACATATTTGGAAAATTTA